ATACCCATAATATGCCTCCTCTGCCAAAAGATGCCATTTTCTGTTTATTACCTTCTGTTACTAGATAGTTAGACTAATCATTTGTTTGTTATTTTTTTGTATACATTTGTATAGCATGTCCATCCGGATATATTTTGTACAGTTTGCAGTATAAATATAAGGTGCCTCATATCAGCAATTAGCTGAACATCTTCTCCAAAATTTCAATTCTGTTATGGTATCAGAGCTACCATTGATGTAAATTCACAAATGACTGGAGCTGGTAGCCTGATACTACCAGCTTTACATAAATCGATAACAACCAACCTCCTGAAAATCAACCCACCATGGTTCCTCCACATACAGTTCATAATAGAGCTCCTCCTCTTCTTAAAAATACTTTTCAGTTTCCTCAAACACACGTGTACATGCCTAACCTCACAGATCCTTTCCCTCACAGTAAAATTAGACCAAACAAAGGACCCATTGTGGAAGAATCACCTACTAAATGTTATGATAGCTAATGGGCTTGAAGAATTACTTGATGGTTCACTGCAGTGTCATCCCAAATTTCTGGATTTGCAGCAACAAATAGGAAATCCTCATTACACACAACGGCAGAGATTCCACAGGCTTGTCATGACCCGAAAATATGCTTCACTTACAGAAGCCATGATGAGCAAGATTGTAGGACATACAACAACTCAACAAATCTGAGAGACCCTATAGAAGGTATATTTATCTAACACCACCGCACGTGTTCTTGGCTTGAGGTCAGTGCTCGCAGAAATCAAAAAGGAATGTGTCCCTATTTCTATCATATAGTTGAAATTAAGGAGGTAATTGATAAATTTGCTACCATAGGTGAGACAATATCATATCAGGTATTTCTAGCCTATTTGCTTGATGAATAGGAGTTCAATATAATCCATTTGTCGCCTCAACACTTATTAGAACACACAGACCTTCAATTGATGATAAACACAGTTTACTAGTTAGTTATGAATGTCGATTGGAAAGATAGAATTCAGTCCAGAAAAATACAATTTGCTTGAGCTAATCTCTCTAACTACAAGATAACAAAAAGTTTTCGAAATCTCCTTTTCAATTCAAGCAATGATAACAAAACTATCAAAGTGGGTTTCAAGCCTTCCAGTCAGTAGAAATTATACCGGTCCCNTCTCCTTTTCAATTCAAGCAATGATAACAAAACTATCAAAGTGGGTTTCAAGCCTTCCAGTCAGTAGAAATTATACCGGTCCCCGGTCCAGGACCTTGGGAAAACCACAGGCATCATACTCAAAACAAAAATGGCCACCAAAATGTAACTTTTTAAACAACAGTGAAGAACCTCAAGTGTCAGACTCGTGGCCACATTCACTAATATGCCACCAAAGAGCCAAGATGAATTACCAGCCTCTCCACCCCAACCAGAGGCACACGCTAACCAAGTTCAGAATTATACTCAGAATCCTTACTCACCTACAGATTCTGACCCCCTGGCTCCTAAGGTAGCACCCCAGCCTCCCAACACCTCCGAAATTGCCCTCTATATTGACTCTGAAGTCACTCACCACGTGAGTCCTGAATATGCAGCATTGACTGAAAATATACAAAGCATAACTGTTCTAACAACAAATTCTATAGAACTTGCATAGCACTTGTCCGCTTTATCCAACTCGCCCTAACCATATGCACCACGTCATATTAATGTCAACTTTCTTCTGAATAATCAAACTTAAATAATCAAAGTAATCACTCTATACGATAATAGGATCCTCTATACTGACACCACCACCATTTCCTTATTCCTGTTTTTTTAATGTTTTGTCAATTTGGCATGCTGTGAGCCCCTTATACAAAGAGTCATCAAACTTCCACTCGTTTGATTAAATGAACATGCACAAGCGGATACTAATATAACTAATTACAATAACATGCACTAAATATGATAATATAAGCTTTAGCATTGTGATTTTGAGCAGTAAAACAATTTTCTATCACTTGGTTCATTTGGTTTGTTTCTTAATACTAATAACCTTGTTTGGGAGTATTGGGGCATGAAATTTAATACCTCTTAACTACCCTTGAATTGTGTTCAAGAAAAGATTATGGATTTTGAAAACGAATAAAAACACTTGCATACATGATAAACTGCAACAACTTTAGTAAGGTTTTTGATGATTGAAAATAAAGAATAAAGCCATAAAATAATAGAGCTAAATAAGGCCTCACTGAACTTGAAATCTCATAAGACGGTCAGAGGAGTGCTTTTTCTCAAATCTCTGGCTGCGAAATTGCTCACGAAGCTTTTCGATCTCCGCCAGCTCTTCTGGAGACCCAGCATTCGAATCATACTCCCAGATTTGCCTACCAACATGACCGTTCACACTGCGCAACCATGGGTTCCCTCCCTCCGCAATTTTCAGCTTCCACATTTCTATATGCAGTAGAATCCCAGTGAACAATTCAGTCAACAAACTCACAGAAAATAGAAATAATTAATGATTATTACATATCTTCATATCTGGAGAGAGAATTTGTCAATTTACCCAGACCTGGTAATCAATGCACCAATATTACATTTTTTCAACAATAATGTTGATGCAGGACAATCCTATTAAAAATTAACTAACTTTTATCCTATTACAAATATACGATTGTCCTACATCAAGTGTATAATTCAACTTTAGAGATTTAAATCGAGTAACACAGACAGATCTTATATAGAATGTTAAAAAAGATTATTGAATCAAATCAAAGACTCGAGCAAAAAAAATGCTTCAGTAAACCTTCTGAATTGAGTAAAAAGTGCTTTGTTGTGTATATATTCGCAAAATCTATGTGCATGGAGTACCTGAAAACTTGAATGATGTTAAACTTCGAGCAGCTAAACCTTCTGGAAAAACTGGGTAAAGAAAGAGTAGCTTGCAAAGAAGAAGAAAAAAAAAATCTATCTTGCGTAGTTAGTACCAAAAATTATGCATAAAATTAGAAGGAATAATATTAAATAGATAATACATAGTGAAGTAAAGTTGACAAATAGTTTTTATGAGTTTTTTTTCAAGCCGTGCAGTTTGCACGTCTCTTTTATCGAGTCAAACTCTACTCCTCGTCTGCATTTTGTTACCTAATTAGCTTAAAAAAAGAAAGTGCAAATAATATTCTTTTAAATAAAAACCTAGAAAAAGTAATAAACTATTTAGCTCTCGTTTGAACCATATTATTGTAAAAATGAGAATGAAAAATATAGTCGTTATGGGCCTTCACACAAAAGATAAAAAGTCAAATATGATTGCTTAATTTGATGGATAACGGTCATATTTTTCATTTTAATAAGGAAATAATTAAGCTCAAATAGGGCATTAATCAACACTAATACAGTAATACTATTTATTTAGTATGAATATTATTCATAGTGAAAACTACTGCTAGTCGTCTTATATGACATACACATTGTAATTTGTTATTTGATTGATGAAACAATAAAAAAAAAAACTACCATATCCATGCATCAAACAACAAATTGTCTTGTGTATAGTTTCAATAATCTCTTATTTTAAACTTTATTTTGCGCTAATTCGATATATTAAACGCAACCTTGATGATGCAGGACTTTATCAAATTATTTTAATTAATTGGGAAAAAAAAAAGTATAGATCATTCGACGTTAGAGTGTTGAAATCTTAGCTTGGTTTGATTAAAAAATTGGTAGAAATTTAAGTTAAATCTCTGTTTGGTATAATTAAAAAATTGATAGACATTTAAGTTATAGTCAATAATTAATTTTAACTACAAATTATCTTGTGTATAGCATCGATAATCTCTTATTTTAAACTTTATTTTGAGCTAGTTCGGTATATTAAACACAACCTTGATGATGCAGGACTTTATCAAATTATTTTAATTAATTGGGAAAAAAAAAGTATAGATCATTCAACGTTAGAGTGCTGAAATCTTAGCTTGGTTTGATTAAAAAATCGGTAGAAATTTAAGTTAAATCTCTGTTTGGTATAATTAAAAAATTGATAGACATTTAAGTTATAGTCAATAATTAATTTTAACTACAAATTATCTTGTGTATAGCATCGATAATCTCTTATTTTAAACTTTATTTTGAGCTAGTTCGGTATATTAAACGCAACCTTGATGATGCAGGACTTTATCAAATTATTTTAATTAATTGGGAAAAAAAAGTATAGATCATTCAACGTTAGAGTGTTGAAATCTTACCTTGGTTTGATTAAAAAATTGGTAGAAATTTAAGTTAAATCTCTATTTGGTATAATTAAAAAATTGATAGACATTTAAGTTATAGTCAACAATTAATTTTAACCACATATTTTATTGGATCCATAATTTTTATCAAATTTTCGACCATATTTCATTTTTTTAATAAAATTCTACTAAAATTTTAATTTTCAATAAAATCGAACAGAGGCAACACATTAAAAACAATTAACAATGCTAAACTTACACGAAAACAGATTGGGTCCATCATTGTTGTGAAGTGCTCGATAAAATTATCTAAAATGTTAAAACAATTGAAAATCACAATGAGCTACAAAATTAATTGTCAAATTCAACAAAATTAATTGTCACTTTTTGAAAAGGAAACTTACATTTAAGGACGAGGCTCTATAGTACTATAAAAATATAAGATACGTGTCGATGGTTTTTGAAGAGTCCATATCTATTAGTTTGTCATCTTTCGACTAACACAATTTAATGTGTCTCTACCAATCGATAAGTTCTAACTTAATGAAAGATCAAGGATTTTTTTTTTTTGGGGTGGGATGGGGGGACATTGAAAATTTGCATGGCTTCATCCGAATCGGTCGTTAATTAGATAAAAATTAAAAAGAAAATGATAATTAGCACAAAATATCCTATCATTTTGTACGTTTAAGAAAATCATTATATCCTTTCAATCTTTGCATTGGCAACATCAATTCAACATTTCATCACGAAAATCATCATTTACTTCTAGTTTTGTCCATTTCTAGTACGAGTATTTTCGTCTGGTCATCATTTCATGTCCCATATTATCCATACAAC